ATGTAATCAAAAGCGTTTATAAATTATTTATATTGCCGTTTCACTTTGCTCCGGGGGAGAGGAGAGAGATTGTGTGACGTTTCATTTATTATATTAATGACATCGAAATCGAAATAATTAGATTCGTTAATCGTTCGTCGAATCTAACTGTTGATGTCATTGCTCACGTATCAATTTCAAGCGTTTGTAAATACAGATACAAAAGATCTGATGATAAAAAATATAAACGTTCATCTCTTGTAACAAACAAAATTTATCATCGTAGTAATTATCGAAAGTGTTGATGTCATTGCTCACGTATCAATTTCAACGTTCGCAAATACAGACAAAAAAAAGATCTGATAATATAAAAATATAAACGTTCATCTCTTGTAACAAACAAAATCTCTTGTCGTAGTAATTATTGAAAGTGTTAATTATCGTATTGTACAACATATGTCTGAAATATTGCTCGCGTAATATCGCGGTTCTAATTATTATTCGCGAAACAACTACGTGTACACATTATATCGAAATTATCCGAGCCAGAGAAAAAACGCATCGTCACACGATAAAAAATATTTATCTTATTAACATCCCGAATATAATTAAAACCGATAATCATTCAGCGCGTACGCCTGATAATAATGTTACGCAGATCCGATATTTCCAGCGGTTATATTTTTTATTTCACGCAAGCGCACTTTGATGCGAAAGTACAAAAAATCGTCTCTGCAAAAACAGCTCTGTTTGTTTTGTTTCATTCGTATTTTTGCTCTTGCGAATTTACAGCCCCGACGCGAGGGTTTTTATTTGTCATTACGATCTTGAAAACACTCGGCCTTCTCCTCTCGTTGTAATTAAATTGTTGCTCACGGCTGGATTTTCGCCGACGGATTTAACCTTTAATGAAAATACGACGAGTAAAGGGGGCGAGACGGAGGAAGCATTAATTCACTGCGAGAGCGCGCCACTCGAACGCGCGTTAATATCCGGTTGCAGATGCGTTCGATTCGCGCTTGGACGAAATTTTTTTCCTTGAAAATCAAATTAATGTAATGTACATCTGAGACTCGAGCGAAAATCACTATTGAGGTAACTTTCACGTATTGATTTCTATATATATATATATATATATATTGTTGTTAAACGTATCAAAACACGTTTCTACCGCGTACTGTGTAAGTACATTGTCTTATTTATTCGCTCGCTGTACATAAAATCAAATTAAAAGAAAATCTTCGCGACGCTGCGTTTCATAGCGAAAAAATGAAAACGGTGCCGCGATGAGACGTCGACCAATATTCGATACGACGTTAATAATTACTCGTCGTCGCTGCATCAACCCTTAAGGGTTATCTTTTATTGGATTATAGGAAGCAGCGACCGCCGCGCGCGCCCTATCGAGTGCCGCGGAGTATCATTGTTTCGTTGGTTCAAGCACTTTTTTTTTTTCACGAAAATGAGGATATGGATTTCCGATACGAGAAATTCTCAATTCGCGTCCGAACAAGAGTTCCCTGCGCCTAAACTTTATCGAACCAAACACCGTCGCGATTATCGCCGTCGCACTTGAGAAAATATTTTACCCTCGGGTATTCTTCCCCGGGTCAATACGCACAGCCCCTGTTTAAACTCTCTCCCCTCAGTCACGTCGATGTCGTTTGCATCGCGACGACTTGTATGCAAAATCCACTTTTACGCATTTTCTCTTCGGAGTTCGCGGTCGTGAAGTCGCGTGTTTTCGCGACCGTTTAAAAATGCCAAACCGCTCCCCGCCGTATCCGCTCGAAATTATCATAATTTATCAATTTTTTCATGTGGGGCGGGAAACAGAGGATTGACGGTCGCTTCTGTGTTGTCTTTAAAAATCAAGTTTTCACACATGCAACTGCGCGAAAGAGAAAAGCGGATTTTTTGAGTTCAAACTGGCTAAAAAAATTTCCTCTTCGAGATAGAGACGATAAAAAGATCCACTTGAAATTATCTCGCGTTCGATATCAATCGGTTAATTACATTCTATAAATAGAACACGTTTGAAAATTGGCAAAACGATGATAACGCATCCGCCATATGCGATCTTTCGGAATTTCTATCTGTTTAATCGTACAAATCCGTGTGAAATTTTACGGAGCGCAAACACATATATATGATAACGAGAATCGCGATGACAACTGAACTCAATTGCGTATGTTGCGCGAGATATTCACAGCAACTGTATATAAATATATAAATATTAAACGAGGCATATGTTGCATTATTAATTGTACGATTTAACACTTTGCAAATCAAAATTTATTGATTCGCGATTTCGAATCTATCGTATTGTAAATTTGCCGCGTTAATTAAGATAATCGGAGAGAATTAAACCGCGCCTATATACAAACGAGAGAGATAAATATTTTAATATGATAATTCCGACAATTCTCTTTGATAAGTAAATAAAATACAGAGACAATATGCGTTTCGGGTTTGAAAATTTCGACGAGAGATCGTGTGCGAGATGCGTTCGGAAATATCTCAAATTAATAAATATCGTAAATGAGAGACGCGAAAACACATGTACGTCCGGACATTTTTCACGCAAATTGCTGCAACTTTGTTGTTTTCCGCACGCGTGAGAAAAAAAGATGCATTATCTATATCTACGTTTCATAAATGTATGAAAGGGAGATTTCGTGCATATTTGAAATTTGCTCGCAAATTGCGACCTTTCCCGAGCGGTTTATTTACGTCTCTGCTTCTTCGCGGACATTTATCCGGCGAAATAAAATAAAGCTCGAGCGTCGTGCTTGCATTGCGCCGCGGAAAATCGCGACAGATGTATCACACGCGAGAAATGTTGTTTTCTTCCTCTGCAGGATAGATAATATTACGCGAGGAGAAGAAACTCGGTGGAAACAAAAAAAAAGAGAAATATTTTCTAGACGATATCGCGCCAATCTGAATCTCTCGACGTTGATTTTTTTTTTTCCGACTTGACGTCCGTTCCGAGAATCGTCAGAGATAAAACGTCAAGCGTCGAATCGATAAATTTCACGTGCTTTCACGCAGACAAATTGCGATTAAACGCCTTGTTTTGCGAGATATTGTATATATAAATATCTCTCTCGTTACATATCATATGTACATCATGTTTCTTTTTTTATTTTCTTTAAAGCGCATTGAATTTCGCGGGCGCGCGCGATTATTATCTCTCCCGGGACTATTGAAGGTAAAATAAGGTAATTATGCAGTTATACGGACTATTTTCCGATCTCAACAATTTTGACATATGTTATCAAGGTCACCTCNCTGAATAATAATATGAAGGTTTTATC